CATAGCGAGATCCACTCTGGACCAAGGTTCCTGCTACCACATCCCCCAAATAAAGGTTCCCGTACGATGGGGCAAATGTAGTGCCCATCGCTGACTCCTGTACTTGTAGATAATGGGAATCATTAAATGTGTTGTGTGTTAGAATAAACTGCAAGAAGTTCAACAAAAAATAATTGTGATCATATTTTATACAGCCAGAGTGTTAAGACATCTTTTTACGGCTCCAATCCCATAATTATGTGGAATTGAGGAGTACAAAGCCTCCACATCTAGGCATATCATTTTATCTTTTGGTACTTCCAAGCCTAGCTAACATAGAAATAAGATGAGGGGTGTCCCTGATATAGGAACCCAGGGCCTCAACATGTGGATCCCTCTCCACCAAACTTTACACTTGGCACAATGCAGTCAGGCAAGTACCGTTCTTCTGGCAACTGCCAGACCCAGACATGCCCATCAGATTGCCAGACAGAAAAGCGTGATTAGTCACTCCAGACAACACGTCTCCACTTCTCTAGAGTCCAGTGGCGGCGTGCTTTACACCCTGCATCCGACGCTTTGCATTGCACTTGGTGATGTAAGGCTTAGATGCAGCTGCTCGGCCATGGAAACCCATTCCATGGAGCTCGCTACGCACTGTTGTTGTGCCAATCTGAAGGCCACATGAAGTTTGGAGGTCTGGAGCTATTGACTCTGCAGACAGTTGGCAACTTCTGCGCACTGTGCGCTTCAGCATGCGCTGACCCCGCTCTGTCATTTTCCGTGGCCTACCACTTGGTGGCTGAGTTGCTGTTGTTCCCAGTTGCTTCCACTTTGTTATAATACCACTCACAGTTGACTGTGGAATATTTAGTAGCAAGGAAATTTCACAGAACACTTCAATCCAATGATTTGCAGGGGTGTCCCAATACTTTTGGTAATTATAGTTGTATATACTTGCTTTTTCTGTCAGGGATCCACACCCAGAGAGAATCAGTCTCAGTCTTCCCTAACATTTTTATGGACCTTGGGCAATGCATAGAAAACTGGTATACGTGGATTTTTGTACCGTATATTTTGTAATTAAATTTCTAACGCATCATCAATTTAGTTAAAAAGGTCCATTTGATGCCCCCATATTTCCTTTGCTGTAATCCGCATATACCAGTTCCCATTCAAGATTTTCATCGCCATTTTTTCATAGGCTTCACCTGTCATGACTATCGTTCCTCCCCTGTAACTCTTTCAAGGCCTGCCTTTTTGTTGATGAAGTTTGGAGGTCTGGAGCTATTGACTCTGCAGACAGTTGGCAACTTCTGCGCACTGTGCGCTTCAGCATGCGCTGACCCCGCTCTGTCATTTTCCGTGGCCTACCACTTGGTGGCTGAGTTGCTGTTGTTCCCAGTTGCTTCCACTTTGTTATAATACCACTCACAGTTGACTGTGGAATATTTAGTAGCAAGGAAATTTCACAGAACACTTCAATCCAATGATTTGCAGGGGTGTCCCAATACTTTTGGTAATTATAGTTGTATATACTTGCTTTTTCTGTCAGGGATCCACACCCAGAGAGAATCAGTCTCAGTCTTCCCTAACATTTTTATGGACCTTGGGCAATGCATAGAAAACTGGTATACGTGGATTTTTGTACCGTATATTTTGTAATTAAATTTCTAACGCATCATCAATTTAGTTAAAAAGGTCCATTTGATGCCCCCATATTTCCTTTGCTGTAATCCGCATATACCAGTTCCCATTCAAGATTTTCATCGCCATTTTTTCATAGGCTTCACCTGTCATGACTATCGTTCCTCCCCTGTAACTCTTTCAAGGCCTGCCTTTTTGTTGCACTGTCAAATTATAATTTCTCACCCTGGATATGTTCAACTTCCTGATGTCATAACAAACATTCCTTACAAAAGCGAAAACATTCACATTCTGCAATGGGAGAGAACGTGGTAGATCTAGGTTTGAAACCCTGTATTCCAATATCATCTGATTTATCACTTTCTGAACGCAATTCTTCCTCGTCCGACAAATGTCCTACTTCCCATAAGTCATGCAAGTCTCGAAACAATTCATTTTTGATTATAACAATCATGTAACACCAGAATTATGCCTATACTCTAACTAAATTTAATCAATCACGGCCCCACAAAGATAGAGATTGGAGTGCAGGAAATGTCTTAAATATTCATTATTTATAAAACACCGGGACAGATATGTGCAATACGTATCTTTTTGTTAGTAAACGATTTATGTCAAATTTAATGCGGATATCGTGATCATATATTGTTTGCTTTATGAGGGATATAGTTCTCAGTCTGTTTGTTTTATGTAACAATTTATAGATTGCAATTAATCTAAATTTAGAGGGTATTGCTGATTATTTAGATATATATATATCTGTTGTGTGATTTATTTGAGGATTGTTACCCACTAGTTGCCCTCTTTTCTATAATCAATTGAATAATGGCCTTTGGTTGAGCTGGGTGGCGCTTGTAGGGCCACACACAGCTAACATTTTGCCTGAATCAGGATTTGGCCAAAGTTTGAGCAACATATAGACTGTTTTAACCCCTTCATGACTGAGGCCCTTTTTTCCATTTTTGCACCCATGTTATATTCCACATTTAGCAGATTTCCTTCACAATTGCACTTTCCATGATTCCATCCTGGCAGATTCATTTTGAAATCTTTGCAGAGTAAGTTGAAATTGTAAGTGTTTTTTATGATGCATTATAAATTGAGGAGGCTTTATGAAAACTGGAGCAGCTGTGCATGGCAACCAATCAGCTTCTATTTAATTTTCAAATCTTAACTCAATGAACTGAAGAGAGAAGCTGATTGGTTGCCCTGGGCGTCTGCTCCAGTTTTAGTAAATTCCTCCCTATGTATACATTTTTGGTAAGACCGCTTTAACTTAGCTTTCTGCTTACGTGTTTGTATTTGACAGGTGTACCTCTTCCCAAGAAGCCACGTTTAACACCACCTGCCCCTGCTCCTGAAAAAAACACAGGGACAGTTGATCGGTCGGACCCTGAAAAATTTTGCCAGCTCTGCAATGCCACATTTAACAATCCTCATATGGCACAACAGCATTACGCGGGCAAAAAACACAAGAAACAGGAGACCAAGAGCAAGCTTATGACTATATATAGCAGCTCTGGGAATGCTTTGCCGCAAACTACACCTCTCAAACCTCTAACGCCAGGCTCTGCTTCAAGTGAGTCCAATGCTGAGCCTGAATCTGAAAAACCTGCTGTCTAATTTGTAAGGGAATGTTGTAGTTTCATTTTTAGTGGGGAGATATTTCCATTCCCCTGACTTTTATTTCTAAGCCTTTTTTGTTCCTAGCAGTTATTGTATCTCTGCATTTAATGTATGCATGACCTGCTTGTGTAAAATGCTATATCTTTAGGGATGTATATATTTTAAAAGGTAGGCTGATAGTTTAATGCCACAAACACATAGCAAAGTAGATTAGGACTAGTGCTGTTTTTTGTTATCTGTAAACTGGTCTGTTTGGTTCCTACTATACTCGCCCTTAAAATGATATGGTAGTGACTGAAGATGGGAAGATACTCTATTTTTGTGTGTACTGGAAAATTCCTGATCAACTTTAAAATTCATACAGTGAGATTTAGAGCCTTTATAATGAATTGCATTCATTTAAGGGACTATAATAGAATCATAACTACATTTTTGTTTTTAAGAAAATTTGTATCCCTTCAGATTTTTGTACAGTTTGGCTAGCCACACGCTGTTGGAATTCTCTTGTTAAACCCTGCAGGCTGAATGAGAGAAATCCATTCAATTGCCCCAACCATACAAAACAATGTGTATATAGGATTCCATGCTGCCAGCTATTGTAGTCAGAATATCCAAACTGATCATCTAATTTAGGCACCGTTCAGCTGATAACTTCTCACCCGACCCCTCAGCTGTATGCCCAGAGTTCTGCTGTTAATCCATGACATGGATGCACTTTAGAACCATAAAAAGTAAGCAGTTAGCTACTCTGTGGTCTAAAATTTAGGGGCACAACCTTGAGGTCAGGATACACCCCCCCTTACCCCCATCCTAACTCGGATCCATGACATGGGCAGCTGACACTAGGTTTAGAATGTTTTCAGTGGGGAAAAAAGTGCAGCTTAAACAGTTCCTCCACTCAGCTAAATCTTTTCTCTTCCTTTGATCTAAAAATGTTGTGGCTGAACCTATACATCAGGCAGTTAAGCACATTAGCTAAATGTGATAACTGCTTATGTATGAGGCTATAAATTGGCAGTACAGAGTGTGCTTTAATAAACCCATATCAGTGCAGTAACATTTTAGAAGTTTTTTTTTTTTAAATAGTTTTAGGTTGTGAGCGGTTTTATTTTGTATAAATGGGTGAAAAAGTAAATTTCATGGTGTAAATTTAGTGCTGACCTTTACAACACTGACCACAAATTTAGAATAGTCTTATCTGTTCTTTAATTACCTGACTCCATAGGTGGCCTTGGGTGGGGGTCACACAAAGCAAAATAACCCTACAGCTGTATAGCAGGCAGTCTCCAGTGCCACATGGAAACCTTTTTAGTACTATAGCCCCAAAATAGTGACACTTTCAAACTCTGTTTGCTCATGGCTCTTTTACTCCCTCTTCTTGAGAGTGGGCTTGATGAAGGAATGTTTGCCCAATACACAGAATTTGAAGGTCTTCTGTGGCTTGCAGCAGTAGATTGTGGGAATGCTCAGGCGGGTTGTGGTTGGTGTGGGATTTGGCTCATTGTGCAGTAATAGTCACTTTGTGTAAACCCCAGAAAGGTTTGAGAGGGATATAATATACTGTAGATAAAAGAAATCTATATAATATCCTATATCACAGCTAGGTTACCCTCCTAGTATTGTTGGGCAGACAAAAAGAAAAAACCTAGTCACCTATATAAATTGCAAGAATCTTAGCTAACTTTATTGAAGCTCATTCTGAGTTTTGTTCTGTTGATGATGACCTAGATCTTGCTGGTAAGCTTGCTGAGATGAGCGCTTCAGTGGGTTGTTCTGCCTACTGAAATCACTGATCATGGTTAGTCCTGAGGTTGTAATAAGGAACCTACCCTTCCGGGATACCTCCCTAGTTATCTCACCAAAGATAAATTCTTGTGGGTGACTGCACGAGTAGCCAATAATTATTACCACCTATCCCAAAGGTACACTTACATGAGCAGGGCATTATAATTTGTGTTTACAAGAAAAGAAATGTCTCTTTTTGGGGGGGTTGGCAGGTATATACATACAATGTTTTTCCATTCTGTTTCCCCCATATAAAAAAATGTTTCCCTTTTAAATGTAAGTCCCTTTTTACAGGTTGGGGTTGGGAGTTGTACATTTTTTTTTTTTAATTGGCTTCCTATTCATTACGTTTGGGGAGAATGGCGTTCTCCTTTAATGCCACATCATTAATAGTTACTCATTCTATTTTTAAATAACCAACATTGCTGTTGTATTCACTAGTATTTGTAGGTCTGAGTCACTGGAAGATGTGATTTGTGATTAACAATAAAATATTATTTCCTGAAACGTAAAATAAAAAATGTATTAAACTTTCACATGCATATAGTTGTGTGATATTATTTAAAGATGAAATTTTAACTGAATTATTTTTAATGTGACCCAATATTAAAAATAATCAGTGTTTTTCATGTTTTAAGTTTCTCTACAGTTTTTTTTTGGTGCTTACAGTATTGATAGAAGCCACTGCACATCACTTATTTATTCATATGAAAGGTGTTATTCACAGGGGTTTTCCACTTTGAACCAGAAAGGGGGTCCACTTAGTTGTAGGGATTTGTGCTGATTGCATCTCCCTAAGGCTCTCATAGTCGGCTGTTTTAGGGCTTCTTAAGAGACGTTTTGAGAGGCCTCTAAGACATAAGACTGGTGGACTTTTTCTAGAGCAATGAAGCCTGACTCCATGAAATAGATGTTGATGATCTGATTGCTCCCCAAGGAGGTCTCACCTCCTGCAAACACCTTGTAAACTGAACAGTAGGAGGATCTATATCCCTTGTTACATGTAGTGCTCAGCAAACTGGGCTTTTTTTTTTTACTGAAAATGAACACAGGATAATTTTATCTTTGTAGTTGTGCTACAATAACATATTTTTTTAGCCAGTGGGGCATGCAGATATAACCCAGGAATTGCACCCCTTGATCTTGGTAAAACATAAGAGGTGATAGTTCTCAAAGTAACATATCATGCTCCCAACTAACCTAACATGTGAACAAGGATATTTCAGTCAAAAATAACAAAGCACCCCATGATTTCATAATTTTAGTAAAACTACAGCCTGTTTTGTGAAACCTGTAACCATTTTTTTTCCCCTGTCAATGATCACTTCTCAGAATGGCGTGTAGCTGAACAAAAAAAAAAAAACGAGTCTTATACAAGCAGTGTTCTGAAATCGTATGTTTTGGACACCACAATAGGCACAAAAACAGTGAGTGTTGGCTTCTGTTTTTCATGTTTAGCTGCTCACCCATGGCTAAACCAAGTGTGGTTCATTTGGATTTGGTTTCCCGTGTGTTTTAAACTTTAAAGGTTGTTTTAACTACCTGCTGTCCGGCCGTTGTAATTAAACAGCCGGACAGCGGCTTCTTGAGGGCGGGCGTCTTTAGACGTCCTATCCCGTTCCGCCCGTAGCGGCGGGCACGAGCGGGAAACCGGCTTTGAATGTAAACAGGCAGCGATGGCTGTTTACATACAAGTGTTCGGGCGTCAGTAGAGACGCCCGATTGCTTGTAATATCCTGTCGGGTGTGCGGGGCCCCCCCTCCGTCGCCGCCGCTGGTGATCCCGAGCTCCGCTGTTTCAGGTGTGAGCCAGGGACCAGCACATCAGCTCTGCGCCCGGAGATCAAACGGAGCTTGGTACACAAGCTCAGTTTGATCTCCTCTTCTGAATGCAGGCAGTGATGTGTATTACATCACTGCCTGCATTCAGTGCCACTCTCCGGTACAGAAACCGGAGAGAAGCTGGTGAAGCAGGTCTCTGCTTCATCAGCTTCTCTGGGGGTCCCTAGGTGACATTAGGGGTCTTAAGACCCCTGATGTCTCCATAAAGAGGACCTGTCACTGCAAATTGGCTATCGCATAGGGAGCTTGCTTGCTCCCTATGTGATAGCAATAAAGTTCAGTGAAACAAAAAAAGGTTTAAAAAAATTTGCATAAAAATCACATATCAAAGCAATAAATAAATTAAAGTCCCCCGCCCCCACATGCACACGCAAACATGCGTTAAGCCCACCTACGTGCTAAAACGCAGATTACATCCTTTGCACCGCACATGTTGGATATCGCCGCGAACGTCGGAATGAGAGCAATAATTCTAGGGCCATCAATCACTGATAACACTAAACTTATGAGCGGTAAAAGCTTTTAAAGCGTCGGCTTAACCTTAAGGTTATACTGCAGCCTACAGGAGAATTGGACACTAGCAAACAACTTAACCCAGCTTGGGATAAACCCTCCTGCTATGAGCATCCTTTGTTAGTGGCCTAGGAGGATGGGCCTATTTTCTTACAGGTTTGCTCTGTTAAAGACTAATGTCTTTATTGCTTTTTTCCTTTTCATTTAATTCGAGTTTTTTCAGCACAGTAACCTGGCTTTTAAAGTGCCCTATCTGGACCCTGGTGTAATTGATGTTTTGGGGATTGCAGATCTCTATATCAGACTAATTAGATTAGACTAAAACTAATCTGAGGTCCCTATATGTCTATTGTGTTCCCGTACATTTATATACTGTGTATATCTTTCACCCCTTCCTTAGAAGTGACTTAGTACTTTGCCCTTCATGTTTCATATGGACTGTCTCCCTCCCTCTCTCCTTTTTAAATTACTATTGAGAATGTTCTTATATTTTGGATCCCTTGTTCCTAAAATTGCCCATTATGGGTATTCTACTTTAACCCCAGCCTTTCACTTGTTAGTCTTTTGGTCGAGACATATATTTTTTTTGTGCAACATTCCTTTCCCTGAGGTGAAGGGTTGGGTATCCTAAGCTTCATCCTTTACCTTACAAACATTTTTGTTTTGTTCACCACTTTATCTGTTGGTCGTAGTTTTCTCCTACCTGGTATTTTTCCCATCTAGCCTTGTTCCAGTATAGATTCCTTTTGGATATTTTTCTAGTAAGATATTCACATCCGTTGGATTTCTTAGTGTCTGTTGCCCACCCCTCAGACTTTTTTTGGAGGGCCCATATGTTCAACAATTACTACATATATGTGTCCCTCAAAGGACGATGAAGAAAATACGTTTTTTGGATGTTGCCATAAAATCTTTTTGTTAAAGCTCATTATGGTACATTTGTCCTGACCCTCTGACCTTATGTACTACTTGCTCAAAAAACTGGGCATGATGGTTGGAGACAAGGGTTATAAAGGACTGGCCTAACGGATTGTTACTGGCCAAACCCTAAAGGCATCCAAATGACCCATATATACGAGAGCTACTATGCTGCTGTGTTCCCAGTGGACTGCAAGA